ATTAGTTCCCACGGGAACCGTTCATTTTTCTGGGATGAAAAGTAACCTGTTGTTTGACTGGCAATATAAGGTATTAGAATGTTAAATTTTACTAAATTAGGTGCATAAGTTGCTGTGTACTAAGCTGTATAAGATACTATAGTTTTTAACTATCCCACGGGAACTCTTTAATTTCCTAGGATGAAATGTATCTAAGATGTTGCCCGGGGATATAAGGTACCACCATGCAAAATTTCATTTAAATAGGTCCAATAGATTCGGAGATTAGCCCATACAAACAGACAAACAGACAGAGAAACAAAAAAATTGAACAAAATCTGGATTTGCTCTATTTGTCTTCTTACATCCCCCTGACTCGGTTTTTAGCATTTTTTAGCTATGTACAGACATTCGACCTCTACTCTTTTATTATAGTATAGATTAGCAGCATTAATCGAATGCATTAGAAATTCTATTACATAATCTCGATATTATTCGGTATGTGGGTTCTTCAGGCAGGCAAACCACTACCATCTCTTGACAATCATTTCTTACACAAATCTGAAAAAAATTTTTATGAAAAGAATAGTTTAGCAATGTATATAAAAAAATTGACTGTAAACATCGAAAAACTAATATTCCTCGTTACTGTTTAATCATTACACACCTTGAAAATGACATTCTCGGCGTTAATTTTGACCCAGTTTACGCCTCAAATGATCCAAATACGTCTCTTAATTGCTTTATTGAATTATTACAACGTGCAATATTGAAACATACTTTAACGAAACATTACATACATATACGTACATTACATAAATGTACGCTATGTAAGTTCAGTATAAATGCATAAAGATTTTATTTTATTATAATTTTATTTTTACTAACACTAATACACTACTAATCATAACATTTACATGTCTGTTAAAAAAATCTGAGTTTTCGGCAACCTGCGGCTTCCGCTTGCCCCAAAACTACAAAAAATCTCTAAAAAGGTAGGTTTCATGCAAACTTTCATCCCCTATTTTAATAAATGCACATGGAATTATATACGGTATTTATAAGAAAAACACAATTTTTAAAATTTTTGTCTGTCTGTCTGCTTGTTCTGGCTAACACTGGAGCTTTGATTGGCAGGTATTTGATGTTGTAAGTAACTTAGGCTACTTTTATTTCAGTAAAAGTATTAGGGAATCGCTCAAAAAATTAAAATGTACCTAGAGACGAATCCGAGTCACTAGTTTATATAAATCTATACAAAAATTGTAAAAGTTTTTTAGAAATCTAAAAATTTTCCGCACCTGCGAAATTTAAATTTCCACTCAGGTTTGAATTGCTAGTATGAAACTGGAATTAGGCGGTGCGAGAAGTTACTACTGGTAATTACTTTATTAATCGATTGATATCACTTGGGCATTGATAGAGATCAATCGAAGTAAATTGACTATACGAAAATTATTCGACGTTAATCCAATTTGTATTGGATACAGAAAAGCAAGAGGACTTTATTTAAAGGTTTCTACTTATTGTGTCTGTTTATAATAATTTTTATTTTATTTATTTATTTTAGGGAAACAAACAGTACGATATTACATAAATAATTAATAATAATAGATGACACATAAACCAATGAAGTTTCCACAAATAAACAATACACTTAAGAAGCAGACCATAATGAAAATGAGAAAAACAAAAAGCTAAACAATAAACTAAAAAATTACAAAATGAAACACTGCTTAACATGAATAATAAAAAAAAATAAAAAATAAGGAAAAATATAAAATACATAAAATACAAAATCAACAATTAAACAATAGGTTATTAATACTATTTTTGAAACTTAAAAGTGAATTTGAAAATATGTCTATACTTGTAAATTTTTAGATTACCTACAATAATTAATATAAGAAAATATTCTTTCTTAAAAGTTTATCCATATATAAATCCCTATTAAAAAACTAAAAAAGGATCCCATCAAGAGCGATAAAAGGCACATAAAAACCAATAAATATTTATTGGTTCCTATGTGGCTTTTGTCGCTTTTGGTGGGATTCTATTGGAGTTTCTCAACAGGGATAACGAGACAAAAGGTATAATACACGCTATAGCACTGGCTTATCCTTGTAGAGTTCAAATATGCGTTGTGGATGTTAGAGATATATAACAGAGCAATTTGCATCCGACCTTCTAGATATCATAGCTACGTCAATCTGCGATCAAGATAAATTGTTTGATTCAGCTTAAACGGCAATTGGTGACGATTGGTATTATCTCTGAGTGCATCGCGTATTGCAATTTGAGCGTGGAAAACTCTTGGAATACGTATCAGGGCCCCCTCTCGCCAATCACTGGCAATTGTGCAGAGTATAGAATAAGTGTCATTATAATCTCTTAACGTCTCGGTACTCAACACGCGTTGCTTTACTTATGTAACGTAGTTTCTTCAAAAAGCTTTTGTTCCTGTTGAGTTTTTAACTGTAGGCGTTATTGGCTGGTTATAAATAGCGATATTTGCAGTTTGCAAGGCCTTACAATCTTTCTATTAATACACTTATAACAAGTGTTGGATTTATAAAGAAATTCTTACTTAAACCCTGTTTATAAAAATGATGTCTTCAATTAGCTAATATTATAAGAATTCTTTATCTAAATCAGGACATTAGGAACTTGTCTTCACTTTCACCCTGTTTGCCTGTTGAATGTAATTATTGTCGCGAATCGAGTTATGTATTAACACACTTTTACCAAATAAATATGTGTGAACTCTCCAATTATCTCCTCCACAGTAGACTTTAGATGTACTTTAGATGCAATTGTTTAATTGACGCGTAATCGCGTAAGTATAATTTATTTTAAAACATTTATAAAAAGAAAAATATGTACATGCATTATATGATTGCGGTAAGGAAATGACGTAAAACAGACTGCCTTATCGCTAGAAGCGATCTCTTTCACGCAACTTATGTCTTCCACTGGAATATCTTCGTATTTTTTTTCATGACAACGAATGCAATTTCTCTTTCTTTTTATAAAATAACATAGATACTCGTTACATGCGAAAGTTTTTATTAGTAAGCTTATAATTTTGTCGATATTATTTAAAACACAATTATGTTTTTTTTTTTTTAATTTTGCTTAATCTTCTCTTGCTACTGTCTACTTTATTAAGTATACTTGAGTTACTTGTTACTATAAATAGCATGTATAGCAACAATTACAAAGGTAAATATGAATAAACAACTTACAAGGCCACTAAAGTGCATAAAAATGTTCACATAGTAATTCCCAAGAGATCGTCGTTCGTTAATTAATTATCTTCTGTCAGGACACGGCATATTCGTCATCATTGTTGAATAACAAGAGACAAGCAGCAACTTTCAGCTAACATGCATTGAGAAAATTTTAGTAGAGAGATAGAAAAGACGACAATAATCTTACTTTCCGATAGCCATTCCAAAAACGATGTTACTTGCAATGTTACCACTACGAGTATGTAATGTCTAGACTAATTGAAGCCCACTATATAATAGATACCAGAACCTATTAAAGATATATTATAATTAAAGATAATTGCTGTAGTAAAGTGAATATAATGTAGTGAATTGAATATAATGATAACTTTTAAACAATACTAATCTTCCATTTAGTTTGAAAATAATTCAATTATTAGAAATACAATGCAAAACCGATGATTATTTATTATTAAAGTAGAAGTACGTCTAAATATATAAATGAGGCAATTAGAAAACATTTAGCAGTAGTTAACATAAACTTTTAACTTTTATTAAGTTTCTTAATGTTATTTTCACCAAGATTGCATTGCGTAATATTCATTACATGCGAGCATGTATTCGGTGGCATAAAATCGTTCACCGTAAGGCGCTCAAATCAAATGCGAAATATACGTATATAGTGAACTACCGGGATGCGGCCAGCTTTCTAGAACTGAAGGTTCCCATGGACTACCGCTCTACGAGCTATGTACGCACTGCTGAAGTAGCATACTTCAGCTTAGAGATTCGATGGTGCATCGGTGATCTCGCAGGGAAATTCCGAGCACAACCCTTGTCATTGCTCTCTAGGTGACCCTTGAAGTCACCTGTCTTATGAGGTCCAAGTCTTTGCTATGCATATCATCACTTGTATTTGGGACGAGAAAGTGTTAAGAAGCGTCACGAACAAATTGCCCGACTCCCTGCTGCACCTTGCGCCTTCTCATTTGTCCAGTTTAAGACCATCCAAATATCTGTAGTCGTGTGTACCTCCCAAACTCACTTCCCCCTGGCAATGGTGAAATGTGTTTTGGAGGTACACATAACTACTTTAATATCATTATATACAGTTTTCACTTCCTCTTAAGTCTTGAGTTTGGGCATAGATACACTACTTTTAGAGAATTGCGCTTGCTTATTTGTAGAACAAAGTATGCTACCTTGGTCGACTTGCTCCTGATAGATTGTTGCAAGAAACTTGTGTACGATAAACCCGACCCCACCCTGAGATTGTTGGTTATCCTCATAGATATAGAGCAGTTTACCAGATTTGAGTATTATCTAGTATTAGGAGGGGGGCTCCCTTACCTTTTTGGTATCCCTATTATATCCTCTGCTTATTTTTTTCTGAAAATCGGCTAACTAACATCCAGTAGAAGTATCCTTTAAGCTCACATACAATCTTTATACAAAAAAAATCAATCATCAGTTGCTCCTTTGTTGCGTGAATTTTTTTATCATCAATATATTGTAAAGCGTATCATGAAGTGGTTGGTTAACCCGATACATCAAATAATTCCCGTGGGATTAATATATTGCAACGAAAAACAAGAAATATATATTAATTGCTTATAGTTTTACTGAATATAGGCAATACTGGATAAAAATTTGTCCCATACAAAATCAAACCTACAAACTTAAGTAATAAGCAATGGCAAATATCTCCAATGCCGACGGCATTCAGTACATGGCAGACTACTAATTTTATTATTTTTTTTTTTACTTAGGAAATTAACATGATAAAACCAAATGGAAATGCAAGAAATAGAACCGATACCATATGATCAATTTCAACGCTGGCTACCTGATCTACCACCAAATTATATGATGCAAATGTTGGGTGATTCAATAAACGATGACAGTTTATATCCACGTAAATCTGCTGATGATTTGGTTGCCCCCCCTCTCAGACAAGTAGATAACAGACCCCGAAAAGGCCGCGTTGTTCCTGAAATCTACGACACAAATATAGAGCAACTAAATACTAAAGATATTAAGAAGTCCTTTGCGTTAACACCACTTGACTCTGGATACTTCGAGGAAATAGCCATCTCGCCCAAAACAAGTAAGTTTATATCATATTTGCCTATTATTTTCATTATATGCCACTTTTTAAAGTATCTAATAGATGAAACTTCTCCTGCTTACCTTTAAATTTTTCATTGTGTTTAATGTCTGAAATAAAAATGTGAATGGTAAATAGATAGATGATATTTAAATTTTATACAATATTGTTAGGCTCTATGACTTCGAGAATCGGAAATTAAAGCACGTCTTTTGCTCTATTGATGTTTTATTGCTCTTGGTTAACACGAGTGATGTATGGAGATTTAC